GTGGGGGGTTTGATATTAGGGGGAGCAGATCTTTCGGCAATCATGGCAATCCAAGATTCATGCCATGGAACTCACCAAGTCAGGTATCCCTCTGCCTTCTTTGGAACCAATCTGGCATGCAACCTTCGTGCAATTGGTGTGGACACTTGCATCATGGTTGGCTGCTCCACTAGCGGCTGCATCAGGGCTTCTGTCCTTGATGGCATGCAGCAAGGTTTTCGATGCATCGTGCCGCGCGAGTGTGTGGGTGACCGCACGCAGAGCGTCCACGAGTCCAACCTTTTCGACATCAACGCAAAGAACGGTGATGTCATGCCCAAACAGGCAGTCATGGATCACTTAGGCAGCTGTTAAAAAAAAGTCGCTCTCGCAGAAAGTTTCTTCTTATGCGGCTCGACATGTCCCCAATGGGAAGGCCCCCGAGAACTAGCAGGAACTACTCAGGTGGCCATACTTGGCGGGTTGTAAAAGCAGGGTGCGGCTGATTCAGGTCGCCATGGACTCCTGGTAGGAAGACCCACGAGTCCTTTCTGGGTTTAGTAGGGAATCAGGGATTGTATTGTTATCTTGGGATTACAGAGGGACTTTATGCCCTTACTGCCTACTAGCTGCCAGCACGATTCACAGGTATATCGTCCGACTTCCGGAGTGCGCATATTGGAATGTGAGACAGAGGCAGGACACCTTGTACATTTCTGGATTTCTCGACAGATCAGGGAATAGGGGTTGCAAAGAGTTGTACGGGGACTCCATTTCTGATCCCGAAGTTTTTAAGCATAGTTTGTTAATAAAGGATCTACATTAGCCACAAGTGAAACGTACAATGACTTTGTCCACGCGCCCACTGCAATCCTATCCATCGCTCCACGCTTGTAACAGGGTTCAGCGGCTTAGCATTTTGGGTTTAGGGTTTAAGGTTACTATGGAGGTTTGAACAGCTGAAAATATTGTGGTCCCAGGTTCTTTGTCAGATTCTAGTATGGGATGCATCAAAGGGACTTCAGAATGATGTTGGTAAGTCTTTAGGCCCCTATGTTATTCAACTACTGTTGATACTAAAAAATCCTGCCTGACCTTAGTATATCACAGTATTATAACTCCCAAGATATGAAGTACTTAGGGTAATTCATAGAGGGAATAGTACCAAAATGACCTTAAATTGAGAATTGAAATTATTCTAAATTTCCCTATAAACCCTAAACCCTAAACCCTATATTCAACTATCAAGTATTTGGCCGTCCTCTGGCAGGTTCGCACCGCCACAGGCACCTCCAGGTTGACGGTCGAGATATGGGATGTCTCAGGCGACACGAAGCCGAAGCCCCAGGGTTTAGGGTTAAGGGGTTAAGGGGTTAAGGGGTTTAGGGTTTAGGGTTTAGGGTTTAGGGTTTAAGGTTTAGGGTTTAGGGTTTAGACGTTTTTTTGGTAAAGGTTTGAGCAAGTGCTGATGTACACGGTTTTTCCTTTCCCGGTGTCCGTTGGGCAGAGCCATGTACATCAGGATCTTCGCCTTTGGCTGGATGTGGGAGAATTCAAAGCTACAAACGGACCTCGATAGCACATTTACATCTCTAGGAACGCCCTTTCTTGAGACACTCCTACGTGAGGATGCAAACTGCCAGAACAACTTTTGTGATAATTTTTTCATTGTTTGAGGAGTTAGCCCTTTTAGTCCTGCTTGCAGTTGCCATTCCTACCATTTTTGCTCCGGTTAAAATATTACACATGGCATTTGTCATCTCAGTATCTCTGTTTTATTGTATTTCATTTCATTTGATTTCATGATGACAGAAACCCTAACTAAACCCTAAACCCCCAAACCGTAAAAACCCAAGCAGGCTCCGTGCTTGGGATTATTTCGCTTCCGATTTTGCGTGATTGAAGGCTTTCCGAGATTTTACGATTCTGAGCGATGGGGTTCACACATCCCTAAATCCTGAAACCCTAAATCCTAAACCCTAAATCCTACATGCTCCATGGTAAGCCCTAAACCCTAGATCCTAAATCCTAAGCCGCAAACCGTAAATTCGAAATCCTAGGCCATAAACACAATTTTTTGCGTAAGTCCTAAGCCCTATCCCTACTCCTAAGCCCTAACCTTAAGTCCTGAAACCTTAACCCTAAATCCTAAACCCCAAATCCTGTACCTGGGTTGGCTCAGATTCCAGAAGTGCTGGCCCGCCATCAAGAAGGCAAGGTACAAGGGGCTAGGGGGTTTAGGGTTTGGGGTTTAGGGTTGAGGATTTAGGGTTTAGTTTTTAAGGCTCGGGTCTAGGGTTCAGGGCTCAGGCATTTGGATTTAGGGGTTAAGGGTAAAGCGTGCGTGGCTTTGAGGTTTGTGGTTCCGGGGCTTTGCGGTCAAGTCTTGGTGCTTTAGATGTTTCTGTGCCATCAAAATAGATTATCTTGAGATGTAAGATGGGGTTCATAATCCTTCTACGTCGGTGTATGTGGGATATGTGTATAAGTTTATCTGTAAGGTACCCCCGTGGGAAGAACACAATGTGAGTTCATCTAAAGAAGCCCTCCAAGACATGAAGCACTCAGCGGAATACTGGAGTCCTACAGCGCGACATCAACTCAAATGAGCCATAGTCTAAACTCCTAGTATCCCCCCCTACTAACCCCTATAGTAGTTCCCTATATACTACCCTGTATAACCCCCCTTTAAAGAGTTTAGACTTTAGCTCAAATCAATTTACCAAGGCTCAGCCTAACAGTTGAAAGTGTGACGCCTAAGCTCCCCAAATGCAGAGTTCTCCCAGGCCTGAAGCTCCAAACCTTTTGAGTCACTGATGGTTTGGGGAGCTTTTGTGGTCGATAGGCCCATGAAGACGAAACAGGTCAAAGGTTGAAGGAGGCTTGGGGGGTTTAGGGTTTCGGGGTTTTGGGGTAAACAAAAGCCACAGCGGCTTGAAGCACAGAAGCAGGGCACTTTGCTCCTGTTACATGGCAGTCTCCTGCTCTCTATATAGGGATTATATAGGGATCATAGAGGGAGTATATAGGGATTATATAGGGATCATAGCGGGATTATATTGGGGTTATATAGGGATTATATTTCTTCCTACTTGGAGGGTCAGGGAGAGTTAGTAAGTAGGTTAATGGCCTCTATAACCCAGAAAGTAACCCTAGTTATCCCTCTTGTTAGCCTACTTATTGAGTCCTGACCTTCCGGTCCTAAACGCCTTGAGCTCCGCGCCTCGAGCCCTACCCTCCCCTAAATTAACATGAACCACCCCAAAGGACCTTGAAAAGGTGCCTGGAGCGGATTCCATACAGTCCTTTTAGTGGTCCCCAGAACCCTTTCAACCCTTAACCCTAAACCCCAAACCCCCAACCTGAACTTTCCCCTACGCCAGCCAGGATGCAGTTGGAGCCATCTTAGTCTACAACCCGGAGAAGCCTAACCATGAGCAAGAGGTGGAGCCGGGCACTTAGAATGACCTCCAGGGTAGGGTTTAGGGTTTGGGGTTTAGGGTTCAGGATCTAGGGTTTAGGGTTTAGGGACGCAGGATTGCGTTGAGGATTCGGGGTTAAGGATCTAGGGTTTAGAGTGGGGGTTTGGTTGTCTTCCGGTTGGGGGGAAGGTTGCGCATTTGGGGTTCCTGAAGATCTTCCTGTGCAAGGGAGCGACCGTCTTCGTCTCATCACCGCCATCAGCACCATCACCACAATCGCACAATCATCACCACCAGAAAGATCATCACCACCATTATCACCCTCACCATCCTCCCACCATCAATAAGGATCATCATAACATTCACCATCATCAACATCATCATCATGATCATCACCAGCTCTGTCACCATTTTCCTCATCGTCCTCTTTGCAAACAGTCAATCAGACTCTGGGGTTGCAGTGTTTCATCATTTTCCGGCCAGGGCTCTTGGAGCCGATGCCATCGTTGTTCAGAAATCAGACAGAAAGTGCTGTTGCAATGATGTGTCTGTTCTGCTGCGATCAAAGCGTCCACAAGCAGCACTTCCATTTTTCTACGTTGGCGGACGAACCACGCCCAAACTCCACCCGATTGTATGCCCACATACCAGCATGTGGAGGAGGTTTGTGGGGTAGTCATGGGAGAGCTGCTGGTTGCCTGGGGTTTCGTTTTGAAGCTGAGGCAGTGGTTCAACTGGTTCCCGAGGACAGTGCGCCTTTTGCAAAACTGGCTGCAAGGTTTCAGGGTCAGTCTTTGATGGTTCCAAAAGGTAGTTGATATTGGATAATATAGAATTAATTCAGGCATCATGGAAAAAGAAAATAACAACTACTATGATATAATAGGGCATATATTGGGGTACTGAGGGACCTAGGGTTTGTCCCAATTCCGTGAAGGTCAAGCTCCAATGCCTGAACCGAGCAAGGCATAGAGCCGAGTCTAATATCTCCTACTCGGATTCCTTGCTACAACCTCCGACTGACCTTACTGGTGGCATAGCTTCCTACTATTCAGGACTATTCAGGACTATTCAGGACTCTCGAATACCATGATACTGGTAAATCCAGCGCATTGACCCTTAATTCCTTGGCTGTGAGTGCTGCCAACCCGACAGTGAACCGTCTCACGCCTAACCCTAAAACCTAGACCTTGCCCCCAAGTTGTTGACCATACACGGCCCCCAAGGACCCAAATAATGGGTTTTAGGGCCCACGCACCATTGGTATGAATGGTATTTGGGCCCTAAAACCCATTATTGGGGTCCTTGGACCCTTAGGCTGTCCCAATGCTTCACCATGCAGTATTGTGAGTCAAGGGAAGTAGATGATGTACTAAGTGGTCACTTAGTTGTAGTCAGAACATGAGAGCCACTGCAAAACTGGACCAGCCCCGCAAGGGTTGTGAAAGGCATGAAAGATCCATGTAAGCTTTAACAGCCAGATGGTAACCGTATGGTTGATAGCAAAAGGATTCTGCATGACCTCATGATATTTTCTTCCTTACCAATTCCAATGTTTAGGTTATTTCGGGACATGCAGGTTCTTAGCATCGACAGCAGTACCTACATTTTCCACCAGAGCCGACACCGGGTTAGTCAGGAATGAAAAAGGGTGAGCTTCCCCAAATCTGGGGTGTCCTTTAGGGACCCCCCATAAAAAGGACTACCGTATATAGGGATATATGTTGGCCCCCCCACCCCAATTTGGAAAGCGATCAGATCGATCCTCTGGATCATCATGAACAGGAATTGCAAATTTCGGGAGTAGCGTGCGGATTCCTCCTTTTGTCAAAAAGTCAAACATGAAGTTAGATGCGCGCAGGACAATGAACATGTCCGCCAGCCAGGCAGGTAGCAGTCCAACCTCGGGTAGTTTTTGTGTGTACAGCATGGTTTAGGGGTAACCCAGACCCC